CCCACACCCCACACCCCACACCCACACCCACACCCACACCCACCCACGCCCACACCCACATCCAGCCACCCACCAACCCACCCACACACCCACACCCAGCCACCACCCCACACCCACACCCAGCCACACACCCACACCCACCCACACCCACCCACCCTTCAGTCTATCTGGTTGTTATACTAATTATAACAAAATTATGTCATCATCTCCTAAAAAAACCCCAAATTTGCACGGTAAGTAACAAAACATAGATAATATTTTATCGATTTGAAAATGAATATTTTGGATACTACAGATCATTAGCACCATCCGACATACACATCGTTGTTGATAATTCAAACCGTTTTATTGGTACTCAACATGGTCAAAATGCAAATGGGCAACAAGATGCTGCTATTCGTATTAATGTTGAAAATTTTGTTAAAATTATTGAAGATAATAGAGATTTACAGAATACAAAAACAAGAATTGTGGGTGGTAGCACTCCGCCTCGTACAGCACGAGTTTGGAGTGAATTCGAGAAATGTAATTATACACGTTTACTCGGTGATCGATCAATGTGCAACAAAGTATGATATAACATTTTTCTTTCTGATTTATTTTAGTTACAGAGAAACGAGAGATAAAATTCTATCAGAATATCTATTCTATTTTATTTTATATGACTCAATTTCGAATACGAAGTTTTTTTCTTCTTAAATTGTATTTCTGAATATTTTCAAAAGATAAAGTCTTTTAATGTTTCGAATATCTTAGTGATTTTATGAGAAAATATTTCTTCTTTTATAACTTTACATCTAATATACAGGGTGGACCAAAAGTCACTTTGCCGAGAAAAAATTGGGTATCTTCATTACGGCTGGACCGAGCGGGCTCATTTTTTTTGTCAAGGATAAAGACATGTTCACATTCTAAATCCATACGGACAAGGTCAGTGAGAACCTTTGTTAACTATAACTATTGACTTTGATAAGAAAATTTTGCCTTTTTACAGGTAGGAAAAACACCAGTACACAGGATGGTGCAAAAGTCACTTTATCGAGAAGAAAATTGAATATCTCTATTACGGCTCGAGCAAACGAGCTGATTCTTTTACCAAGGATAGAGGCATGTTCACACTCCAAATCCATACGGACAAGATTAGTGAGAACCTTTGTTAAGTATACTATTTTCTTTTCCTATCTATGAAAAAGTAACATTTTCTTGTTGAGGTCAATAGTGATACTTAACAAAGGTTCTCACTAACCTTATCCGTATGGACTCGAAGTGTGAACATGCCTCTATCCTTGGTAAATAAAGTCAGCTCCTTTGCTCGAGCCATAATAGAGATATTCAATTTTTTCTCGGTAAAGTGACTTTTGGTCCACCCTTTATTTGTGGACTAAGCAGCATTGATTATGCACAAAAATCATAAAAGCGATTTCAAGATGTTCGAAAGAAGTGTATGAGTATAGATGGATAAGAAAACATTCACATGCACCATAATCTATTGTTTTACCCATTTTTAATTATAGGAAGTGTTCCTAGATGATATGTTGCATTCTCAAATTCAAAGTCTGATTTTGAAATCTTTGTTACCTCGACGAAACACACAACAAACTCTTATACTAATTAGTGGCGATGGAAATGCAAATGATAATCGAACAAGTTTCCCTGAAATAGTAATCATGGCATTAGAACATGGGTGGAAAGTAGAAATATGGTCATGGAAAGCATCCTTAAGCAAGAAGTTTTTTGATATTCAACAAAAATATCCTTCAAAAATGAAAATAATGCATTTAGATACATATAGATCTAAAATAACTTTTAAACAAAAATCAAAACAAAAGCAACAGCAACTTGATAATCATCTTCGATATTGGATATTTCCAGTTTTGATACTCTCAATATTTCTGGGCGCATACTTATATTATTTCCAGATGTTGTAAGACTGTCACTCAACATAAAGAAAAAACATAGAATGATGCAACAATAAAATCAAGCCGTAATACTCTAGAGAGAATTGTTAAACATTAGTTGTATGGGTGTGAGATTTGTGGGTGTACATATGGGTATGAGTCTATGCTTTATCTACGATGTGGGTGTGAGTGTGGGTGCGTGGGTTGGGTGTGGGTATGGGTGGCTCAAAATTGGGGTAACGACTACAGACTCACCCGCATCCGCACCTTCACACCCCACA